ATATGTACGTGGTATTATAACGAAAACCACGAGATTAATTATATGTCCGTTGACGATTACATCGATCAAACACGTGCGATGCTGCTTCTCCGAATTACATACGCTAATAAATTAACTCGTGTTAGAATCCGGGAGGATTCTAATTTTGGTTTTTCAACACGAGTGCGAAAAACGTGTATAAAAACTAGGAAAGTTTCCTTAGTTCTTTAAACTCTTATTTTGTCATTAATTTATTTAATTGCCTAAGTGTTTTATTAACAAGGAATTTATTTGACTAAGACTTTCCTTGTTTGCATAACTCCTTGTTCCTTACGTGAAGATTATATCTAACCTAATGGGCTCTAATTTTGTAGGGCTCCACTAATTCAAGTAAGGAAGTATAAGAAGGGCAGCATCAACGTTGTAATACGTTGTCCCTTTTATTTGAGAGAAAAAACTCTTTTCTGCTCTTACGTTGCTGCTCCTGATTTGTGATCCTATTTCGAGAAGAAAAACACAGCAAAAGATTTGCTTCTTTCACGCGAAAAGAAGATCGGTTCTTCGGGAGGAGAACTCAGAAGATCTCGGGAGGAGGTCGACCCGCCGACTGAGGGACTCAGCGTTGGAGGAATTCCAACCGTGCGGATCAAGGGACGTGCTGCAAAGTGAAGATTGTTAATTCAGCGTAGGATACAAGAACGGCGTCGACAAAGAGGGAGTCTTTGCATTTCGATTAAGTCCTATTACTGTATTCGTAAAACTAAAGATTAGTAAATTTCATTTGCAGGTCCCCGTGGATGTAGGGTACAATTGTATCCGAACCACTTTAAAATTTGTGTCTTTTTATTACTGTTCCATTAACTGTTGCAACTCTTCGTAAAACAGTAGAACAGTAGCTAAAACTGAATCTGGGATTTATAGGACACAAATTTATAATTAATTTGCACGAAATAATTCTAACAATTGGCATCAAGAGCCTGTCACTAAAAATATCTAGTGAGATTTTGGGAACTGATTACTCTTATTTTGTGCAGATATGAATACTCAACGAGAAGGATCTTCAACTACTCGTCCACCTCTTCTAATCGGCTCCAACTACTCATACTGGAAGTCAAAAATGAAGATGTTTATCAAATCCATAGATGAGAGAGCATGGCGCGCCATCGTAACTGGTTGGACACCTCCCATGATCAAAGGAGAAGACAAAGAGGAAGTATTCAAACCAGAAGCAGATTGGAGTGATGGAGAAATACTACTCGCAAATTACAACTCGAGGGCCCTAAACGCAATATTTAGTGGTGTTGATGATAATCAATTTAAGCTAATAGCGTCATGTGAATCTGCAAAGAGAGCTTGGGAAATTCTTCAAGTCACATACGAAGGAACGTCAACTGTAAGGACATCCAAGCTACAGATGTTGGCCACCAAATTCGAAAATTTGAAGATGGAGGAGAATGAGACGATCACTGACTTCCATGCTAAATTATGTGATATCTCCAATGAATCATACGCACTCGGTGAACCATACTCAGAAAGCAAATTAGTAAGAAAAGCTATGCGCTCATTACCTGAAAGATTCGCTTACCGAATTGCTGCCATTGAAGAAGTCAGAGACGTTGACACGCTCAAACTAGACGAACTCATGGGGAAACTTCTAGCACAAGAACTCAATCATGGTGAAAATCATCGTGAAAAATCTAGAGAAAAGAAGATAGCCTTTCAAGCAGAAACATCATATGCAACGCCCCAAAATTCGTCAACTCAAGAAGATGAGCAAACAGTTGAAGAATCCTTGGCACTACTATCGAAAAATTTTGGGAAATTTCTCAAAAAGATCGGAAAAAGGGGAAATCTTCCAAGCACAGGGAAACCCGTGAATTTTCAAAACTCTAGGAGAAATTCAAATCAAGATAAGTCAGAGGAGTCAAAACCAAGAAGAATACAATGCCGAGAATGCGAAGGCTTTGGTCACATTCAATCAGAATGCGCAAACACCCTGAAGAAAAAGAAGAAAATGTCACTTACTACTGTTTGGAGCGATGAAGAAGAATCTGATGATGACCAAGGAAACAACGATCAAGTCACTAACTTTGTAGCATTCAGCAGCAAAGTCCCTCTGGACAGTTCAGAATCAACTGTTGCTTCAACTGTTGGAACAGTCTGTGAAACAGAATCCAGGTATGAAAATATGTGTTCTGATTATGACAAAAATTTAAACGAAAATTCTTCTTTTGCAGAGGATCCGAACAGCAGCAGTGATGAGGAAGAACCAACCTTGGATGAAGTAAAGGAGGTATATGAAAAAATGTACCAAAAATGGCTCGACGTCGTTAAGGTAAACAACTTCCTGGAAAAGGAGAAGTTTGTGCTTGTAGAGGAAAACAAGACACTAAAGGTAAGAATCTCTACTCTTGAGGAAAGGGTCATATCTAGTGATCAAGAGAAAAATAGTTTGCAGGCTAAACTTACTCAAACTCAAGAAGCAATTGCAAAATTGAACTTGGGTAGAGGTAATCTAGATGAAATCTTACGCAACAACAAGCCAAACTATAATCGTCTAGGCATAGGAGGGAGTCAGCTACCCAAAGTTGATTTAAAGCGAAAGGAAGATCAAAACAGAAAAATCAACTTTGTTAAACAAGCTTCTGTCTCACAAACAGTTGCAACTGTTGAAGCAACGAAACACAATTCAAAGAAAAGGTTTATTCCCACTTGTTTTTTCTGTCAAAATCCAGGTCACATACGTCCTAGATGCTTCAAATATTTAAAACTTGTGAAAAAGCTTGTGGCTCGTTCTCTTTACTCTACTAAGGCTGATTATTTTCCTTCACCCCCTCAAAAACCCAAAAATAAAATTGATATTTCCAATAGACCTCAGCAAAAAATTTGGGTTGAAAAGTCCACGTTTAAATGCTTATCTGCGATTACTTCTTTAAAAGCAAGTACTACTAATGATTGGTATTTTGACAGTGGGTGTTCACGACATATGACCGGTGTTAAAGAGTTTCTGAAAAACTATCAACAAATCACCGGTGGAGCTGTTACCTTTGGAAACGGAAAAAAGGGTGAAGTGCTAGGGAAAGGATCACTAAATCATGAGAATCTGCCAAAGCTGAAGAATGTACTACTTGTAGAAGGACTCACGTCAAATCTGATAAGCATCAGCCAGCTATGTGATCAAGATCTTGAAGTTAGATTCAACAAATTCGCATGTCGAGTATTAGACAAAGACGAGAATTGTGTTATTCAAGGAACTCGATCATCTGACAACTGCTATATTCTTGTCTCTGCTGGTATGAACTGTTTCAACAGTCTGTCAGACTCTACAGTGCTTTGGCACAAAAGGTTAGGACATCTGAACTTTGATAATCTCGTAAAAATTTCCAGCTGTGAATATGTTAGAGGGCTGCCCAAACTCACTAAAGAAATAGGAAAAATCTGTGGTGATTGCAAAATGGGTAAACAAATCAAAAGTTCACACAGGGCTTTAGCTAATGTGAGAACCAGTGGAAACCTAGAACTTCTACACATGGACCTTATGGGACCAATGCAAGTAGAGAGTATAGGTGGAAAACGGTACATATTTGTGTGTGTAGATGATTTTTCTAGATTTACTTGGGTAGAATTTATTAGGGAAAAATCCGATTCTTTTGATGTGTTTAAAAAATTATGCAAAAAGGTGAGTATTGAGAAACAGCAGAACATCGTGAGGATTAGGAGCGATCATGGGAGAGAATTTGAAAATTCCTTATTTACTAACTTTTGTGAAAAATATGGAATATCTCATGAATTCTCTGCACCTAAAACACCTCAACAAAATGGAGTGGTTGAACGCAAAAATCGCACTCTGCAAGAGATGGCCAGGGTCATGATGAACGCAAAGGAGATCGCTCCTCGCTTTTGGGCAGAAGCAGTTAACACTGCATGTCATATTATTAATCGAGTCTATCTTCGACCAGGTACCACTAAAACTCCGTACGAAATTTGGAAAGGTAAAAAACCCCAACTCAACTATCTTCGTACTTTTGGTTGTACTTGTTTTATTTTGAATGACAGAGAACAGCTTGGGAAATTCGATGCTAGAAGTGATCAAGGAATATTCTTAGGCTATTCTCGAAATAGCCATGCGTATAGAATATTTAATCTTAGAACAAAATCTGTGATGGAATCTGCATATGTTCAATTTGATGATTTTAACAATGATGCAGGACCACTGGAAGAGGAACCAACAAAGGAATCGGAAAACAGTTCCAGTGTCGCACCAACAGTTCCAACAGTTGATGCAGCCTCCACCATTTCAGAAGACAGTGACGTCAATTCTGAAACAGGAGACGAAGCTGAGGTCAGGCCTCTCGAACTGGATGACCAAACTCACAAGGAACCCTCAAGAAGAGTCAAGAAGAATCATCCAGTGGATCAAGTCATTGGTTCAGTTGAAGAAGGAATTCAAACCCGAGGTAAACCCAAGGTGAATTACAAGGAAATGGCAAGGTATGTTTGTTTCACCTCAACTCTAGAACCCAAAAACGTCAAAGAAGCCTTATTAGATGAATATTGGATTCAAGCCATGCATGAGGAACTGGAACAATTCGTTAGGAATGACGTGTGGGTCTTGGTCCCTAGGCCTGACAATGTCAATATAATAGGTACAAAATGGGTTTTTAAAAATAAGTCTGATGAACACGGAAATATCATTCGTAACAAAGCTAGATTAGTTGCTCAAGGCTATAGTCAAATCGAAGGCATTGACTTCGATGAAACTTTTGCACCTGTTGCTAGACTAGAATCTGTTCGATTACTCCTAGCCATTGCTTGTTTTCTAAAAATCAAACTTTTTCAAATGGATGTCAAAAGCGCTTTCTTAAATGGTATTTTAAAAGAAGAAGTTTATGTTGAACAACCCAAAGGATTTCAAGATCCACATTATCCCAAGCATGTTTTCAAATTAAACAAAGCCCTGTATGGTCTCAAACAAGCGCCTCGAGCTTGGTATGAGCGTCTTACAGAATTTTTATCGCACAAGGGATACACTAGGGGTAGCGTCGATCGAACTCTTTTCTTTAAAAAATCAAAGGGAGACATCCTGATTGCTCAAATTTACGTAGACGATATCGTTTTTGGATCTACCTCGCAAACAAAAATCGAAGAATTTGTTAAACAAATGTCTAGTGAATTTGAAATGAGCATGGTTGGGGAACTCACGTATTTTCTAGGACTTCAAGTTAAACAAATGAGTGATGGAATTTTCATAACTCAATCCAAGTATGCAAAAAACCTTGTCAAACGTTTTGGTTTGGAATCTGCAAAAACTGTTAGAACTCCTATGGGAACGAACGACAAACTGTCGCGACAGTTGGATGCAACAGCTGTAGATCCCACACTTTATCGCAGCATGATAGGTAGTCTTTTGTATCTTACTTCTAGCCGACCAGATATATGCTATAGTGTTGGAGTTTGTGCCAGGTATCAATCCAACCCCAAGGAATGCCACCTTAGTGCTGTAAAACGAATCATTCGCTACGTAAGTGGAACAATTGATTTCGGTATTTGGTATTCTATGGATACTAACACAACACTTGCAGGCTTTAGCGATGCTGATTGGGCAGGTGATGCAGATGATCGAAAAAGCACAACTGGAGGATGCTTCTATCTTGGTAACAATCTCGTGTCCTGGTACAGCAAAAAACAGAGTAGTATCTCGCTTTCCACTGCCGAATCGGAATATATCGCCGCAGGTAGCTGTTGTGCCCAACTCTTATGGATGAAACAAATGGTATGTGATTATGGTATTAGTCAAGATTTATTGCATATTTATTGTGACAATATGAGTGCAATTAATATTTCCAAAAATCCAGTACAGCACTCTCGAACTAAGCATATTGAAATCCGGTACCATTTCATTGGTCTGTGAATAGTTACTCTTGAATTTGTTTTAAAAACTATATATAATAAATTGGTCTGTGAATAGTTCGAAGCCTTTTTGAGTTGAGTCAGTAAATCACGTGGCCGAAAGCTCCTACAAGGCTCAAATAGAAAGCCCAGGGGACTACACATTGCACGACCATTATATGGTCAGTGAATAGTTCGAAGCCTTTTTGAGTTGAGCCGGTAAACCTCATGATCGAACACTCACCACACGACTCAATTAGAAAGCCCAGGGGACTACACATTGCACGACTACAACTATCTCGCTAATTAAATTGCTCTGCTCTTCATGAAAAAGCTACCATTAGTAGGGTGTGTATGCTACCTAATAAGAGCGTTTTTGTGCTTGATTTGAGGATATTAAATTTATTGTTAGTCTCGTTAGTTTGTATTTTGGAGCTTGCTTTTTGTTAAAATTGAAGATAAACCCCATGGGTTTGATAGTCCTAATAGTATCCTATTCACTCGTGTTTACTCACTCATCTTCTCTTCGTTCTCTCACGTCTACTTTTTTGTCCTAGTATTTTAATTCTGCATATTAGGCATATATAGATAAAAAAAAAAAAAAAAAAAAAAAAAAAAAAAAAAAAAAAAAAAAAACCGGGGGTGGGTTCGTATATGTTTTTGGCGGCAATCATTTTTTTGAAGTCACCCACTTTTCTGAGCATTTTTTTTCTTCTCGATGTTTTCTTGAACTGTATTGGGCTTCATATGAGAAGTTTGAGAGTTGCTGTATCTGACTTTGGTTTTAATTAACTGCTATCAGTGTTGGCAGAATAATAATTGCAACTTTCTCACTATATTTTTCCTAATTGCTAAAATACCCATAAGAAAGGCCAACAGTCATCTCTGCGTAATTTTGTTTTTTAGTTTTTTTTTCCCAAATTCCCTTTCTTCTTCTTCTCTTCTGCCTTGGTGCTCCGTTTTTTTTTGTTTGCAGCAAAACCTCCCAAAATTTCCATCAAATCGAAGGAGATCAAGGAACATCTTCATGGGGAAACGAAAGAATACCAGGGGATCGTCTTCTTCGTCTAAACGACGACCCTCTCGACCATCGGCCACATCTCCGACGGACCCACTGCCGCCTAGTCGTTCTGGTCCCCAATCGTCATTCGCGGAGCCGTTGGATGCCGTCCCCCTCGCATATTGGGAACCCCCACTTCCCCTTCCGGCCGCCTCCGCCGCCAATTTTGGCAATCGGCCACTCGTTGCTGTTCCTAGGGCTTCTCCACCGCCGTCGCCGCCAGTGACGTCGCCGTCGCCGCCAATGACACCGCCGTCACCCTTCACCTATTCTCCGCCATCTTCTCCGCTGCCACACTCTGCTCCACCGCCTGTTGAACCGATCTCGCCGCCGCTGTCAACCCCCGCACCGGCTTCACCTCCACCGCCGCCATCCTCGTCGGTCCACAAAGGCAAGCGACCTGCCACCACACCACCGCCGCTCCGTCGCTCCCGTCGACGTGCTCCTCACTCTGCCTCGCCTTCCGCTCAACCCACCACCTCTGATGACTCTGCACCCGATCCCGTGGTGCCTATATCTGCCGTCGATGCCTTTAATTCTCGGTTCTTTCTCCGAGCGAATCAAATCCGATGGCGTCTGGTAAGTCGACGACCTTTTGTTTCCGAACGACCCTTAGGTCCCTCGTTTGATGCGTATGGTTTTTCTGATCTACTCCGTAGTGCTGGTATTTTTGCGACTGTGACTCGCTTTTCTCATTTTGAGAGTCAAGTGATTCATGATTTCTATGCAAACCTAACTAGTGGAGTCTCTGATAGTCGTAGTGGTTTTTACGAAAGGGTGTATGTTTCTAATCGAGTCTACGAGTTCAATCCCACTCGGATTGCATCTCTCTTTGACCTGTCAACAGTTGGAACTGTGGCTCCGACAGTTGGTGATTCTGAGTTGATATCCACCCTTACTGGAGGCAAGATGCGCACATGGCCTCTCCAGACGACTGATCTTACTATGAAGTACCGGATCTTATTCGGCATTGGAACTACAAATGGGTTCCCCACTGCTCACCATGGTACTCTGAATCGACGACGAGGACTTCTACTGTACTGCATTGGAAGTGGCATCCCATGTGATCTTGCACAATTCATCTTTGAAGAAATCGTGGCCGAAGCCGATTCTAAGTCTACTGCCTACTCTCTTCCGTTTCCCTCGTTGATCTACCGACTTCTGATTGACCAAGGCTACATCCCAAATCGGAAGAACGCAGTTCCGTCTCTCCCACTTCCTCTCTCTATCTCCTCGAAGATAGTGGATCCTCATTCCGATTCTCGCCGCGTGCCTCGTATGGATGACCTGCCGTGCCGACCATCTCCTACTTCCGGCGATCAATCTGCTCCTTCCGCTACCGCTCCCATACTTTCCGACGTTATTTCCCTTCTTTCCGCAGAGTATAAGGCCACCCTCGCAAGAGCCGATGCACTGAAGACAAAAATCGACTACTATACAGCCCTTGCTCAGAAAGGGGGAGACACTTCAGGGGGAGATGCCGCTCATTCAGGGGAAGCTGGCCACGATGCCGCTCAGGAGATATCTCGCTCAGGGGGAGTTGCAGCTGCTGCTGGATCCAGTGATCAAACTGCTGCTCCAACTGTTCCAACAGTTGGTGGTGCAACAGCTGAGGCAGATACCGATGATGAAGAAGAGCTGTTCGTGGATGCCGAGGATATTCTAGATTAATTTTTCCTTTTGTTATGTTTTATTTGATTGTTGAAGTTGTTTTCTGAACAATGGCTTGTAATAGTCGGATAGGCTTAATTCTGCTCTCCTTTTGACTGTTGTTTTGTTTTTTTTGTTAACTGTTCTAACAGTTACTCTTTTATGCAGTCTAATGTTTTTGTCAGGTTTTTGATTAAGGGGGAGGACTTGATTATAATAAATAGATGACAAAGGGGGAGATTGTTAGAATCCGAGAGGATTCTATTTCGGTTTTTCATGACGTTTACGAAAAACGTGTATAAAAACTAGGGAAGTTTCCTTAGTTCTTTAAACTCTTATTTTGTCATTAATTTATTTAATTACCTAAGTGTTTTATTAACAAGGAATTCCTTTGAATAAGACTTTCCTTGTTTGCATAACTCTTTTTCCTTACGTAAGATTATATCTAACCTAATGGGCTCTATTTCTTGTGTAGGGCTCTACTAATTCAACAAAAGGAAATATAAGAAGGCAGCATCAACGTAGTTATTGTCCGTCCCTTTATTTGGAGAGAAAACAAATTTCTGCTCTTACGTTGCTGCTCCAGAATTCCCGGTCTTAAATCAAGAAGAAAATACAGAGAAAAGTTTTGCTTCTTTCACCGAAAAGAAGATCGATTCTTCGGGAGAAGAATTCAGAAGATCTCGGGAGGAGGTCGATCCGCCGACTGAGGGACTCAGCGTTGAAGGAATTTCAACCGTGCGGAAAGGGACGTGCTGCAAAGTGAAGATTGACAATTCAGCGTAGAATACAAGAACGGCGTCGACAAAGAGGGAGTCTTTGCATTTTCGATTAAGTCCTATTACTGTATTCGTAAAACTAAAAATTAGTGAATTTCATTTGCAGGTCCCCGTGGATGTAGGGTACAATTGTATCCGAACCACTTTAAAATTTGTGTCTTTTTATTACTGTTCCATTAACTGTTGCAACTCTTCGTAAAACAGTAGAACAGTAGCTAAAACTGAATCTGGGATTTATAGGACACAAATTTATAATTAATTTGCACGAAATAATTCTAACAATAATAATAATAATAATAATAATAATAATAATAATAATAATAATAATAATAATAATAATAATAATAATAATAATATCTTAAATTTTGAAAACTAATTTACTAACGAACACTAATATATTTACTATAAAATATATTTATAAGTTGATAATCACATGAAATTAGTTAATATAATAATTGTATATGCTAATTGTAAAACGGTGTTAATTACACCAAATCCTATTTTCACTTTTATATTTGATAGAAAAAATAGGATTTGGTGGAAAAACTGGTAAAATGGTGGACGGGTGGGAGACGAAAATTTCTTCACCAAAAAATTTGCTGAAAATATAGGATTTAGGGATATGGTGATATAGAGTTTGACCAGGGTGGGAGACTAAACTAAATCACTATAATTTTAGGTGTAATGGTGATTTAGAGATTTAGGTTGGGAGACTAAAAACACCTAAATTAGGTGATAATTATAGGATTTGGTGATGGGTGGGAGATGCTCTTAGTGCCTTGCATGTGTTCATCTAGTGTTTGACTGTTGATTTGTGAAAAGAAAATGAATTTTTGGCCTAGCCATGAAACTTTCGGATTTTTGGGGGAAAAATGTTTAAATTGCTTATTTGGCCTAATTAGTGTTTTGCATGTGTTAATCTAGTGTTTGATTGTTGATTTGTGAAAAGAAATCGAATTTTTGACTTAACTAAGGAACTTTCGAATTTTTGAGGTAAAGTGCTTAAAGTTGTTTATTTGGTTTATTTGGTATCTTGCATGTGTTGATCTTGTGTTGATTGTTATTTTAAGGCCTTGCATGTTAAGATTGGTGATTGATTGTTGATCTAAGGTCTTGCATGTTAAGATCTAGTGATTGATGGTTGATCTAAAGCCTTGCATGTTAAGATCTAGTGTTTTCTATGTAAAATGATGAAAGAACTAAGAATTTGTGCTACTTGATTTAAATTACTCTTGCATGTGAAGATCTAGTGTATTTACTTGAATAAATATAAAGATGGAAGTCTTGAATTTTATTCCTGTAAAAATGCTAGATTTAATGAACTTTTGATGTTAGATTGTCTTTGTATGTTAAGATTTCGGTTACTTTATGTTTTTATGGCTAATGATTTTGTGAAACTTTATGTGTATTTTCTATGTGCTCTTGCTTGCTTATGATAATCATTGGGTGTGAGGATGAGAGAAGGGTAAGTAGAAGGGTGCATGTGTGGGTGCATTAGTGTTATGAATTTTTAAAAAGATAAAAATATGATGGAAAG